TTGTTGTTATCAACTCCTCAGATTGCTATACAGCCAGGGTTGAAAATCAGAACTCTAAGCGATATACTAACTAGCTATATCCCTTTTTTATTCTGATCCTACCAGTGGTGAATCCAAAAATCAAGATCTTGTGCCAGCTGCATCTGTCAGAAATACAGAAATATGACTTTTAAGTGACTTGTTAGACCCCCTTCCCCCTTCTTTCCTAAGGCTTTGCACCAATCCAATCTCAAGACCATCTGTTAACCTCTGATTCATGAGCCAATGGCTAGTCCCCTCCACCCCAGAGATTATTGCAGTATCACCCTTGTTCACCTCAATTCACACACACTTGAGGTTGAGCTTTTTCTTCAGAAGATCATACAGGGACAGAGGGTAAAAGAGAGTCACTCTTCATTCACTTCTTTATTCTTTTATTGAACAGGCAGTACTGAGTACCCATCATGGTCAGCAATACCCAAGAGTGGATCTATTAAAAAGACAGAACTGGAAAAAATAAATAAATAAATAAATAAATAAGACGGAACTGGCTTATGTCACCAGCATTTGGCAAGAAGCCTGAGCCTAGCTCTATTTCTCCCTTTTCTCTCATAGATCCTCTAAAACTAATTCCAGATCCATGAGTGCATGTCTAGAACCAAGACTGTCTTTGTGAATTTCTTTGCACAAATACTATCACTTGTCACTTATTCCATCCTTCAACGTTTGATATAAGCTCTCCTTATTCATAAATGATGAAGCACCAAAAATCGTTTACTCAGAATGGTTGAGGCCCAAGTCTTCATTCCCCAAATAGATTTTGTTCCCATCGAGATGTTGGTTCTGATTCCATGTGGTAATTACATAGTTTGAGGAGTGTTTCTTCCATGGCTTGTCCATACAAAGGGAATTAATTAATCCATTTCCTCCTTCATTTAAGATTCTTTCTAAACTCACAACCTATTAGTCAGTGACTTTGTCCATTACATTGGTTCTATATGCCAGCACTAATGAAAATCCCTTCTAACACAGGATGTTCCCCAGATATCCAAATGTATGTGAAAATACATTTCCCAATTGGGTTGATTAAAAGCCCAAAACAATGTTTGTTTCCATCACAGATGTGAAGTCTGATAACTATTCGTAGGAAAACTGCTGCCAAGGAATGACTCAGCAGCTGACATTAATGCAGCCATTTGATTTTCAGTTTTGACTTCTAACTTTACAAATTAAATTGCATAACTATATAGATAAAGGGGACCCTCTCCAGACATTCAGGTTGAAGCCCAATTGACTGCCAAGGGTCAAAGTCCTTAAAAAAGATGAAAGAAAGGACCCTGGCCAGGATTAGGATAGGGAAGTCAAAGCCACATTCCTTTGGAAATGGATTAAATACAAAAAATATATATATTAGGAAACAAATAATCTACAAACACTTTCAACAGGAGAAATATGAGCCAAGCAACAGATCTCAGGGGCATGCAGACATAAAAGGGCAAAAGAAGTATATCAAAAAGAGATATGAGCCACACGTGGCATGTTCCGAGATCAGTAAAGAAAGGAAAGTGATATGTAACATCCAGTTGCTGTTGTGTAATCCCACATCCTGGTAGTTTTCCTCGTGTACTGGGAGTGAGTTTTTTTAATGCCTGGTTTCAACTTGAATTGGGCATGAGGATAGGTTGACATAATGAGGTGATACTGCAGGCAGCATTTAGAAAGGCAAAAAGAAAATCATGTTCTGCCACTAGCCCAAGTAGAAGGCAAAGCCTGCTTCTGCTATGTTGCTATTTGTGACCAAGGCCAGAATGATGAACAATTGTAGACCTCAGTCCACTCACCTGTAAATTGGGGCTAAATATGCCTGCCTTATGGGATTTTTTAAGGATTAAACAAGATAACAAAAGTAAGTTGGCTTACCTTCCTTTCCTCCTTTTTATTATAGTTTTAAAAGAAATAATTGTCAGGTAAAGGGCAACATAGTTGGCTGAAAGAATGAGTGTGTGAGCTGAAAAGACTTAAGGCACTTAAGGAATTTGGAAATTTTACCTACTACACTTCAGGTCCTTGGGGTTTTTTAAAGATGAACTCACATGCTTTGGGGCAGTTCTGACCTTTCTGTGATGATGAAAATGTTTATCTCTCTCCTCCCCAATGTGGTAGCTTTTGGCTACTGCATGCTTAGGATGTAGCTAGTGCAACTGAGGAATCCCCTTTCATTTCATTTACTTTTAATGACTTTAAATTTAAATAGCCATACATAGCTAGTTACTATCAAATTGAAGAGTGCTCCTTGAGATCTTTCTGACTCTAAGCTTCTCCCACACAGTCTAATCTTGGGGAAGCAGATGAGGGTGAGTTTAAGCAGAGAGGCTCTGGAATCAGACTGCCTGCACTCAAATCCCAGCTCTGCCGCTGGGTGATCTCACATAAGCTCCAAGTGCCTCAGGTTCCTCATCTATACAAGAGGAAAGCTAATGTCAACACCTGTTACATATAAGAGGATGGGGGAAATAAGTAAGTTACTACAAGCAAGAACTTCATGGCTATTCATCTGATGAAAACAGTCCTCTGAATTTATTACAACTATGTATTTATTCCTCTGCCTTAACCACTAGGTTATAAGCACAGCTATAACACCAGTGCCAAGAACCATGATGGCACATTTAGACTCTCATAAAATAAATAAGTGTTGGAGGGCCCAGCCACCAGTGTGACTCTGTGGTTGAGCATTGACCTATGAACCAGGAGGTGATGGTTTAATTCTCAGTAGGGCATATGCCCGGGTTGTGGGTTAGATCCCCAGTGTGGGGCGTGCAAGAGGCAGCCAATCAATGAGTCTCTCTCATCATTGATGTTTCTATCTCTCCCTTTCCCTTCCTCTCTGAAATCAATGAAAATATTTTTAAATAAGTGTTGGAGGGAGGGAAAGAGAGAGGGAGGCAGGAAAGGGGGGGGAGAAGAAAGGGGAAAATGAAATAGGCAATAATGGCTTTCATGAGAAAAAACATTACTGCCTATTTCATTATTGCTTTTTATGAGGGGGAAAAAACATTACTGAAGAAAGCTTCTAAAACAAAATAAAATATGGCAGCTTTCGATCAAAATTTCAGTGGAGATGACTGGTGGAGGTGAAGATGAAGTGAGGTGCTCTGGGGGGAAGCATGCTTCCCAGTAATGGGCTGGGAGAGCTCTGAGAGAGTGGAGGAGAGAGGAAGCTGGACCTGGTTCCACATTTATGAAAACACAAACTTCAATCCATAAAAGTGTGTCTAACCACGCTTCTTCAAGAAAATACTATTGTGGGCTGTGTGACTTTTATTTGTCTATGTTATTATCTAATCTAGAAGGTGCTGTTAGGAGTAAAGTATATGTTTTGTTGGCTCCCCATTTCCAAGTTTTTATTAATACTACATTCATCAGTTCCCACACACACACAAAAAGCAGTTTGGAGCAAGTTTTCATAACTGTTTATTCATTATAAATAGTAAATATTTACTGCACTTTTTACATGAAAGACATTTTTACAACACATTGTTGTTGGTTGAGGCTGCAACACAAAGATAGACCTTCTCTTCATCCATCACCCACTAAGACCAATGTATGAACTAAACTCGGGACTATGTCTAGTCTCACTAACGCACTATGTCATAGTTCTTAACGCTAAAGGGAATGTATTTGTGCCTACCTCGTTTGTGATTCCAAGCATAGAAAGAAATAAATAACACTGCCTTCCCCCTGCCTGTTTGTCTCAACGTCTCCAAAAACAAATTTATTGACATTCTACAATGTCACCACAATAACATATGTAAACCTCAGTTTCTAGAATCTTTTCATATTGGTTATCGTTGTATAGTTTTAAAGTACAGGAGAGCCACGTGGACATTTCTGCTCTTGCCCTGCCTTTCCTAGAAAAGAGAAGAATGTAAACGTAGTCATTTTAAAAGCATTGTTCTCCAATACGGTCTCTAGTCAAAAGGAGCAAGCCGGTGTCAGTTGTCCAGCAAGTGGCGAACATCTTTGCATTTGACCACAGGGAATCACGGGCTGCGAAAATAAAGCACCTGCAAAAATATAGTTCTGATTCTGTGTCTATGACCCTGGCATCGCCAAGGCGTCCATGAGGTACACAGTATTGCACACTGATAAGCAGCTGTGGGAATGCACTCGCTCCTCCTCTCCCTTCCTGCCCAGGTAGGCTTCCACGTGAAACTGAATTGCGAAAACCACACACACACCTCTCCCGTGCTGGGAAAGAAAACCAGCTTTTCCTCCTCTTATCCCAGGTCCTATGAGCAAGATGTGTCCTTCTGGGACATTTAGTAACAACGGAAGTACGAGTGAGGATAAAAGAACAAATAATTTATTTGGGAGGTCCTTTATAGCTAGTCTATCTTCCTAAAATCGGTGGCATTTATTTGTATATCAATTTCCAGTGTGTAAAAGTCAAGGATTCCTCCGTGCCTGCTTCATGAAGGGAGCAGCTTAAAAACTTGTAGAAGTGTCAGCATTGGACATCAAGGTTATACTTTAGAGAATTCTCTGACTATATTTTAGAACATTCTGCTTGGCTGATAGATCTCTCTCTCTTTCTCTCTCTTTTATTCTCTCTCTCTCTCTCTCTCTCTCACACACACACACACACACACACACACACACACGCACACGCACGCGCACACACACACACACGCACGCACACACACACACACAAATGGAATGTTTTAACTCCTTGATGATCAGCACTAAATGTTGGGATATTTGATATGTAGCCATGTTAAATCATTGCCTTAAAATGTTGCATTTGTCTTTACTGATCTGGGTCTTCCTTTTCTCCACGGCTTTTGTTCAGCATGTTCAAAAGAATTTGAAACCAACTACTGGAGAAAGAAAATCAATCATTCTCCTCTGTCTCCTGTCAAGACTGCCCCCCAAGAGGGTGATTTTTTTTTTTCTGAGATTCTTCATGTCTCGGCTGTGGAGCCTGGAAACAGGGCCAGTTTTACTCCAAGTGGACAGTCCACTTATGCGATATCTGGCTTGAGATAATGAAAGGCACCTGTAAGGAAACACACACAACTCTTTAGGTCATGCTGGGACGATGCACAGCGAGGGGCAAAATCAGCTACAGGCTGACACTGTCATATTTAATACCGTGGTATCAAAGGATGGAGACTAATATTTTTATTCCTGAGACAAGTGTGACACAACTCTGTGTCTTTGGGATTATACTCCACATGATCCTTGAGCTGACCTCATTAAGAACATGTGTTTCTAATGCCAAGGGTTAGTTCATTTTGGCCAACCCCTGTGTTTTACCTAGTGGCAATCAGGTTTCACATCGCAGCAATTAATAACCGCAAGATGTTGTTGACATCTGTTAAGAAAATAATTACACAGAGGAGTTCTTGCTAGAACCTCAGCCGGCTTAGCCCCAGTTGATCCTGGGATGCAAGGCTGAGGCAGGCTGCCACTTCCCCTTCCTTGAGGAAGAGATGGCATTTTTTTTACCCTTCCAGGCGTAAATACCCCCTAGAAAGTCCAAGGCTTACTTTGTCCATACTGCCCATACTGGTAGCCTGTGACAGGGTCCATACTGTAGCCTGTGGTGCTGTAGGTGGGTGGACAATAGGACTGAGATGTTGGCAGACTGTCCAAGCTCTTCATGTGGTCTAGTCTCTGACTGCAGCTGGCCGACACCGTGGTGGTAGGTTCAAGGCCCCCGGTGAGAGGAGAGAGAGCATAGTCGGTCTGGGGCTGATGCGGTACCCCACCGTGGTTGGTCAGGAGTCCCATTACCTAAAATAAACAGGTGGATTAGGAAGGCGTGAGGCTGAGAGGAGGACCATAGCCTACTGCTAACAGAATAACTGGAAAAGTCCCCTTTGGGTTTCTTTGGAAATCTCCTGTTAAAGAGCTATCCCGAAGAAGGTGACCTGAATTCAAAGTAGCATGCCCAAGTATAACATCTGACTGCCCTTCCAGAAAAAGGAAAGGGGAGGGCATAGGGGGTGAAAGAGAAAAGAAAAAGAAGGAAGGGGAAGAAGGGAGAAAAGAGAGATTAAACCATACCCCTGTGATAAAATCAGACCTGCATTTCAAAGAAGGAGAAAGGAAGGAAGGACACAGGGACAGAGCTAGGGGGAGATCACATCTGTTCACATAGAATAATCTCTAACCATATATTACATCTGTTTCACCTGTGATTTTAAAATAAGGCATTTGCTTATATATTTTTTTAAAAGCTAAATGAATTCAAATCAAATTCTTTTCCTGTGTTTCAAGAGCTCTGTGGCTTTTTTCAAAGTGTTCTCTCTCAAGAAAGTTGCTCCCACCTAGCTGGTTTGGCTCAGTGGATAGAGCCTTGGCCTGTGATCTGAAGGGTCCCAGGTTCAATTCCAGTCAAGGGTTGCTGGCTCAGTCCCCAGTGGGAGGTGTTCAGGAGGTAGCCAATCAGTGATTCTCTCTCATCATTGATGTTTCTCTCTCTTTCCCTCTGAAATAAATAAAAAATATGTATTTTTTAAAAAGAAAGCTGCTCCCTGTCTTGGGCGTTCTTCAGTAATTAGAAGTGATTGCTCCATCCCTGAGCTTCCTTGTGCTTTTCTCACCCCTCCCAGCCTGTAATCCTCACTTCACCTACATTGAACTGAGGGATTTGAGGGAAGTAGCCTCGCCTAACAAGAATGCTTAGCACCTAGAAGGGAGGGAGTAAAGGAAGGGAGGGAGGGGGTAAGAGAAGAAGGAAGGGAGTGTAAATTATTCTCTAAGTAACTGTTTCCCTTGCTTAGTCTTCCACTCCTTCTCTAGACTAACATCTCCCTATAAATAAGTGCTCAATGAAAAGCCTGAAATGCAAGCCTGTTATAAAAGGTCCACTCCGTTTTGTAAATAACCCTAAAGAGTAAGAGAACTTAAAAAAAAAAAACAAAAAACTGTGATAACAGAACAACTTTCAGATTAGCAGGGCGACAAGGTTCACAAACGCAAGCTCGCTGACCCTTACCACACCTTGCTTCAGAAGTAAGTGGATAATTAATTTTGCAGCTGGAAACCTGTCACTCGAGAGAGGAAGTGATTTTTCTCAAGTTCATACAAGTCAGTGGCAGGGCTCAAAAAGCAAATGTGGAAAAAAATCAATTCCCCGGTGTAGAGCCTCGTGTGCTTATGAAGTATCACCTGCTTCCCTTATATGTAAACACAGGGCCCATGCCGTAACAGCTCTGCTGTGTTTTATGATGTTTGGAGGACAAGAAGCTTAAAGGGTACCCAGAAGAGCAGGAGGAGGGGCGGTGAGGAAGCTCAGCGCCTGATCCAGGCCCCGTGCAGGCCTCCAAGGAAATTCAGGCCATAGGAGCTGGGATCTAGGGGTTCCAGCAAGGCAGGCGGAGAGACTGGTCTAGCATCCCAGAAATTACATTCCAAAAAACAATGAGCCACAATACCCTTTGGGAAGGGTGTGCATAATCCTCACAGCTCAACAAAATCTTCTAGAAATAAAGCTTTAAAATGACCCGCCTTCCATTAGCCCCAAGAGATGAGGGAGGGAGGGAAGGAGGGAGGGAGGAAGAAAAAGAGAGAAAGAGAAACTGTCTTCTGTGGATCACCCATCTCCACTTCTTTGTCATAATATCCAACTTTTTAAAGCTATCCCTAGATTTTCTGGAGCTACGTGCTGAAATATCTTTTTAACAAGCTCTAAAAATGATGTATATTCTAAAAATCCATCATATGCAACAGAGCATAGTTTTGTTTTATTGGTGATTTGAGGGGAAGTAAAAATCACAGAAGGAAGTAAGAATCCAGAGGATTCACAGCTCCTGGAGAATGGAACGCCACTGGAGCCTGGGCTCCCTCAGGGACCTACGCTACAGCTTATAGTGAGTTTACTTCATGTCTAAAAGTTGAATGTAACCTAGAATGCACTGAAGGTATTTCCCGAGTGTTCTTCAAACTACATGGTATGGGGGTGTTCCCCCCCACCTTTTTTTTTTTTTTTTTTTTTGCCTTTCTTTAAGCATATATAGATGATTTTACAGTGCATACTTGGAAATTCATAGACTTCAATGGATAATACTAATTTATTTAACATCTTATTCAAGCCAGAATTTATGTATGTCTATTAGAATAAAAGAGTCTTTAAAATAGAGGTTGTTAGATGCCAAATACATTTTTAAATCAGAGGTATCTCTTTGTGTGCTGACCTAATGAGAAAGAAAAGATAGGATTAAAAATGAAAAAAAAATGTGACTTTTTCTTTTCATGAAAGGTGGGTAAGGACACAGGGTACAAATATCTGACTGTGAATAAGCTGTGCTAAGTTAAATAAAAAACTAGGGGAAAAAACAATTTTTTTAACTATCAATCCATAAAGAAAATTATCCAGTAGTACTAGATAAAAAGGGAGCATATTTTAAATTAATGCATCCTTCATGAAGATATATACTTGAAACTCAGTTTATGGTATGTCCCTTTAAGGAAGAAATAGAATACCCTATGTACAGTTATAGTTGGAGAGTAAGAGCACACTTTTATTCAAAACATGCACACTCTCCCATGAGCTATATGTACAAACTATTTTTAATCCTCTGCTATACATTTCTTGTTTGCATAACTTCGAAAGCAGCAATAACTTTGACATGGGAGTTAGAGGGGACCATGAAGATTCTAAGAGAAATGAGTCCTTCCTGCAAGCAAAAACCAGCTTATGATGTTCAGGGAGCAACTTTTTGCAGTTGCTAAATTAAAAAAGAAAATGGTGTATAGGATTTACATCTATGTCCTTGAAACATGCCTTTGGAAGGAGAGAGATATCTTTCAGGATCATATTCTAGGGCAATAAAAAGATAATTCCCCAAAGATTCTAGGTCACGGTATCTTTAAGACACCTGGGAGCATGACCCAATCAGAATGGATGGTGCCTGATGAAGGAAAAAAAAGAGCAGCTTGTAGGCTCTTCCTAGCAGTACTGCCACTTGTCACACTTGGGGAGCCAGTGACAGCCCTGCTTTAGCAATAGCTCTGAGCCCAGCAGCCCAGTCCTCGCAGTGGCTAATGTGCAGGAATTAAGAGGACCAGAGATCAACTGTCTTTGGTCCCTTTGACTTCCCTGATAGAGCCCGAGAGATAGACATTCCCCCACAAACTCTTATCACATATTGTAATTATGATTTGTTTCTCACGAACTGTATGAGGACGGGGAAAGATGCACTAATATTTTCCTACAGTTGGTCTGAAATTAAAAGTAATAAATAATCGTAACTAACGCAATTCACTTCAATATTTCACATTGGTAAGACTTGAGAAAGATACATCTTTTAATAGCTTGACATTTAAAAACTAAAAATGAAATCTCTGTTGGAAAAAAAAATAGTGAATACATAGACACAAAATATATTGCTTTCCCCTAACATAACTTAAAACCTCAAATCTCTATGGAAGGGTCCCATTTCACTTTTATGTACGTGGCTTTAAAAGCTATTTTGTATTTCATGTGGTTCAAGGGAAGCTATGAAAATTTCTATTTGCTGCACAAAGAAGTGGGTAAATGAACTTCTTGGAATTCCCCCAATATGGTTTTGGAATGTCTTCCAGTCATAATTTTTTTTTTCTCTTTTAGAATATTGTCAGGATTTCTTTTATATATCCTTTTCCTATGGCAACTGTAATTCAAAAACATAAAATAAAATCTTAATTTGTTGCACAGTGTGTTCTTTTCCCCCATAAGCCATTAGTAAGTTATTTCTACTATAAAAGATGACATTTTTTGCCTGATTTTTTTTTTTAAATCTTGGGTGCAGGGAATAAAGTTGCCTGGCTTTTACAAATTATTTCAAAGGAAAATAAATTCAGGGCTACTCAATTCTGTCTGCAGAACACTGACCACATTGTTAAATGCCAGGAAAATCCAGGAAGTACAAGGACCAGGAAAAGCATTGTCCTTTAATGAAAATCTCTGTTCTGTCCTTTGGGAAAGGAATGTGGGGGGAAAAAATAGTTTTTCTTAGTCTTTATTTTAAACATATTTTTATTGATTTTAGAGAGGAAGGAAGAAGAGGAGAAGGAAAGAAACATCAATGATGAAGATAACATTGATTGGCTGCCTCGGTGTGCAGCCTACAAACCAGACATGTGCCTTGACTAGGAATTGAACTTTGACCTCCTGGTTCATATGTGGACACTAAACCCCTGAGCAACACCAGCCAGGTGAGGAGAACTTAATTTTTACTTTTAGTTGAGTACAACTCTTAGGGGAGGCATCTAAAAAAAATCTATTGAAGATATTTTTTAATTGTTACCTACAAAAACATTTCCTATATACTGTTTCTAAATTGTTATATGGATAACCTTTATAAACAAATCCAAAGCCTTAGAATCATAAGCCATTTAAAATTTAAAAATTAAATCATTCACATTATTAGAGACAGTTTCTGAAGATCTCCTTAAACTCATTCTCAAATTTCAGAATTCCAAATAGGTTGTTTATATCTTGATTGGAAGATTGTACGGTTCAGGAAAAGCTAATTCTTTAGAATTGCTTCATGCCATATATCTCTTGAATTAATTTTCCTATTGTTAAGATTAAATATAAAAGATAAAAACTATGGGCCAAATTAAGGTCTACATTTAAACAATGTGTCTGAAAAATATTTGTCTTGGCATAAGCATTATGGTTTTACCTTCAGTTGAAAATGCTCAGGGCTTATCAGAAATCTAAAATGCTTTAGCAAACTATGGTATACATCCAGACACCTCTATTTTTGTTAGTAAAAATCCTGGTTCGTGTCTTTATTTATTTA